CAAACCGGATCCCGAGGGGCTGCAGGAATCCGTGCTGCAGCTCATCCAGCTCGGCGCACTCGACATCCACACACCACCTCCCAACAAGGAAGCCAAGGGGAACAAGGCGTCGGCGAGACTTGTGCTCACCGGCATTGGAATGAAGATGGCCATGCTGCCGGTTTCGCCTGCCTACTCGCGGTCGTTGATTGCGGCGGCAGCGCGTGGGCCGACCGTTGCGCGCCAGGTGCGCGATCTCATCGCCGTGCTCTCGTCGGACCGCTCGATCCTCGTCGAACCGACGGACCAGGAGAAGAGGGAGGAAGCGAACCGGGCCAAGGCGACGTTTGTGCATCCCTCGGGCGATCATGCCACGCTGCTGTGTGTGCTGTACGCCTACCTGGCCGAGGCGGACAAGGTGGCGATGCTGACCAAGACGCGCAGCCAAGGGTCGGCCGAACGCAAAGTGGTGGAAAAGGAGGCGCGCGAGCAGCTCAAGGCGTGGTGTCAGAACCACTACGTGCACCAAAAGGCGGTCAAGAATGTGCTGCACATTCGCAACCAGCTACGCAACATTTGCAGGCAGCAAAAGCTCGGATGCGATGACGACCATCCCTCCACCACCACCGCTGCTGAAGTTTCGAGCGACGATTCGGATTCGGATTCCGAGTCCGGGGTGGACAGGGATGGATTGTTCGTCAAGCGCAAGGTGATGGCGAGCGAGGAGAAGGGAGAGGAGGACGAGAGCTTTGTGGGGATGCGACAGTCGTTGCTAGAGGGCAGGATCGCCAATGCGGCGCTCAAACAGCCTTCGGCGCCCAACACGTACAAGCGCATCACCTCGGCCGCGGGCGCAGGGAGCACGTTCAAGATCCATCCATCCTCGACGTTGCATCCGTCCAAAATGGCGCGCGAGCGTGCGAGCAGACCGACGGACGCTATCCTGTTCGAGGAACTCGTGTTTACCACCCAGACCTTCGCGAGGACCGTCAGCATCATCGAACCCGCCTGGCTCCAGGAACTTGCCACGCGCAAATAGCACCCACATCCACCAGGCGAAAGACAAGATGCGGGAATCAAGAATTCAAGGACCAACGTGAACAACAGCAACCCTTTTGGAGATACAGAGAGCGGACAACCGGGGGGAAAGGATGGGAGCTACTCCTGGTCGTCGTAGATGATGGTCTTGACGCTGAACTTGGACCTGTCGGCGGCGTGTTCGACGGCCTGCTTTGCCTGTTCGAGCGGGAAGCGCGAGGTGACGATCTGCTTGACGTCGATCTTTCCGCTCGACACGAGCCGGATCGCACGTGGCCAGGTATCCCTGTATCGGAAGAGGAACTTGAGCGTGATCTCGTTGGTGCTCAGATGCATAAAGGGGATTTGCTGGAAGTTGGCACCAACACCAATGACGAAGACGAGTCCCGAGGCTGCGGTGGCGTAAGAGGCGGTTTGGACGGACGATTCGATACCCGTGCACTCCATGGTGATAGCAGGCTGGACGTCCTTCTCGCCCTCGGCGATGTGCTTGCCCGAAGCGCGCGAGAAGACCTTGCAGATCTCAGTAGCCGACTCGAGCGGCGAAAGCTTGGGGTCCACCTTGTACGTGAATGTGCCCGGGACGATCTTTTGCGCAAAGTCGAGACGGTCCTGAACCACGTCGGTGATGACGATGGGTGTAGCGCCCGCAGCCGATGCGCAGAGCAGCTGAACGATACCGATGGGACCGGCGCCGGTGATGAGCACAGGTGTGCCGAGCGAGATCTCGGCCTGCAGCGTGGCCTGGAGCGTGACCGAGAGCGGCTCGAGCAGCGCAATCTCCTCGTACGACATGTTGTCCGGAACCTTGTGCAGCCATCCGGCCGGGTGCTCGTGGTAGCGCTTGAGCGTGCCGTCCTTGGGCGGCACACTGTAAAAGTCGACGGTGGGACACAGGTTGTACTTGCCCGTACGGCAGTAGTCGCACGTTGCCTTGAAGCACGGCACACCCGGCTCGATCGCCACACGGTCGCCCGGCTTGACGTTGTCAACCCCCTCGCCGACGGCCACCACGATGCCGCCCGACTCGTGGCCGAGCGCACACTGGTGCTCGATCTTCCACGGGCCCAGACCGGCATGCTTCCAGAAGTGCACGTCCGAACCACACACACCCGTGGCACGCACGTGCACCAGCGCCATACCGGGCTTGGGCGCGGCGGGAGCCGACTTGATCAGCTCGAGCTCCTTCTTGGACGTTGCCCTGCATCGTCAATCCGATCCAAAGACAGCGTCAGTACATGCTCGTGGACACAGGAGCGTGAGGCGGGAGCAGGTCTCGGAAGAGGGACGCTTACATGAGGGTGAGGTTCTCCTTGAGCTTGGAGAGCTCGAGTTCGGAGGCAGCATGCTTGACGTCGGCGACAGGAGCCATGGTGAACAAAATCGCACAGGAGATGGCACGAAGAAGTTTGGGTAGGGTATAGATGTGGAACGGAGCAGGCCCCTGTGTGCTGTGTTCAGCTCTTTATACTCTCTGCCTGTAGCTGGCCGGGAAAGAGAAGGGCCGACTTTCGTTGGCAAAGACCAACACCCACGCTGTGTGCGTCCTTGCGCCGAGAGGGAAGCACGAGGAAGCTTTGGCCCCAAAGCTGACCCGGGGTGGCAAGAGATCGCCGAACGGCTGCGAAAGAGCGGACAGCGCTTTCGAGGCTGGACAGTGCACGCGCGCACTGGGCAAGAGCGAGTCCTGTTGGCGCAGAGAGGAGAGTGAGTGTCGTGTTCCGCTCGACGGGGTTCGGGAAACTCGCCTAGCTTTGGCCAGGCCGTCTTGACCGGTGAATTTGGTGGCCGCGGAGCAGCGTGCCTTCCCCGCCTTCCTGTCGAGCCAGTGCGAGTGTCGGCGCTCGGCAATCTCGTCGACGCCTGCAGGG